CTCAATTAGTGTTATTTTGCAATTAGTCTACTCACAGTAAATTTATTGCAACCAGAGTCATCTATGGTGCAGCAAATTAAAACGCTGTCTGGGCTGTATGTGCAGTGGCTCTTATATGCTTCTTAAACCGTGCATAGCTCATCACAGTCATTTTGTCACACTGACAGATTAGAGGTGCAGGAAAGCAGCAGGCACTGTCACTGGCAATCCTGAAACCAGGAGAAAAAGATAAATTTGTGGTCCAGCCACCTTTAGATCAAACCCAGTGAGTGCAAAAACGCAATGCCAAAATTGTGAGAGCTAAACAAAGGCATACATTTACATGTCACTGTGTGCTTACCCATGCATATACAGAGGGTGAAATTTAATATTTGCTTAGTTGAAACTCCCATTCTTCTAAAATTATACAGAGGATTCTCCCATTTCCATGCTTTGAAGAACGGCTCTGCTCCACCTCGTGAGTATTTGGCATTTGTGAGGCTTATCCACTCTGTTCCTGCAAATCAACCTCCTCCTGCCAAGTGCTTTGAAGTGTTCAGCTACACACACTGCAGGCATACAGACTGCTACTACCTGTGCATATTATACAGTAAACAGAGTTCCAGTTTTCTCATGGCTTGAAGAGTGAAAGAAGGCGGTGTTTTCTAAAATGAAATGGAGCACTCTCCTCAGCAGCAAATGAGAAATTCAGATCTCTTGCCTCGGTGTGCCAGAGGAGCATTATCACTAAGAAACTCAAGGGAAAGCAGTCTGATCTGTGAAGAACTTTTTCAGTGCTGGTGAGTTATGTGGAAACAGAGTAGCTTGATTATTTTTCTACTTTATTTATGAGTTGGGCTTACCCCATAGGAATGAAGGTAGCAGAAAACTGCTAAGACTACAGTAGCGCCAACAGAAAATAAATCGGGCTCACTTGAGGCAGGTTTTCTGGGGACTTTTCTTTTGCCAGAATATCTTAGAAAAAACCTCCCAAAGAAACTGCTACTTATTTTTGTCTATCTAGGGCCACAGATCTGGGTCAAGCATAAACCCAGATGGATAATTAACAATAAGGATTAGGGCAGAGTGTCCCCTGGACTGTAGCAGCCTGTAGAAGCTGGCCCACAAGGAGGGCTGATGCAGAAACCACTCCTGATTACTCACAGATCCAGTACCAAGCACCAACGAGAACTGCACATCCAGCTAACTGAGGGCTGTCATAATCCATATCAGAGTGAAAAGCAGAGAATTCAGGGACTGATGCAGCCAGCAGGCCTGAAGTTGGGCTACTTTAATTGCGGAAAGAAGATCAGCAAGGGAAAGTCCCAGCTTGATACACACCTCTCTGTGGAGTTGTGCAATTGTAATTTATTGCTGCTCAAATTTTTAATCACACAGGGTCACCATGGCCATCCTAAATTGCACCCTTCCCATGGGAATAAAGGACTCTGCTGGGGAATAATGTGGCACATATCACTTGTGCTTTGCCAAAGAGGTTTAAGATTAAATTATTTTAAAGCCAAGAGTTCACATTTCAACTTCCACTTCTTATCAGTGCATCTGCCCTAGAGAAGGGCCATGGACAGGAAAGCGACAGTTCATCCAGGCCCAGCTTTGCTGAGCACCAGCTGAGTCCAGTTCACCTGGGGAGTCAGTGCCTGCATGGCTGGAGACCAGGCTGGAGATGGGCCCAGCAAGGAAGCAGCCAGCCCTGCTGTCTGCAGGCTGCTAATCTCCATATCCCATCTGAAAAGAACTGAACTCCCCAGAGGGATGGTGTCAGACTTACTCCCCCCCCCCCTTACCTTCACTGACTATATTTCCCCTCAAAACACACTTCTACCAGCTCCAAACACTCCCTTCAAAATGAAGCGACTTACAAGCTGCCTGCTGCCCTGATCTTAGCTTTGACTTCAGATAAGGCTGCACCCAAAGCCTGTGACACCAGCTTCCTGGTCTGCAGCACTGGTGTCCTGTTTTCAGGCTGGGCTCATTGGCCAACGCTTACTCAAATTCTGAGCAAGGCAGACAACTCCTCCTGTTCCAGGCCCCGTCCTGCTGCAAGGCAGACACTGCAATGTCCTCAGAGGGTCTACAGCCTGCCTGCTCCTGTTCTCATGGAAACAATGCTGCATTTCATACAGGTGGCAAACAACATGCTACTGGCGTTAACAATCCTTTCTTATAGGCTGAAGATGGTTACATCCTTTTTTTTTTTTTTTTTTTTTTTTTTTTTTTTTTTATTGCCATTGGAAATAAAGTATTTAAAAGAAAAAAAAAAAAAAGAGCCTGTAAGATCCTGTTCCTGCTGATAACAATTCAAGTGACTGTATCGCTTAACATTTATGACAATCCAGCTGGATGGAGTCACGTCCATGACTGATAGCTACGTTGAACAATTTTGTGGCTTTGATCAACCAAGACAGGATCCAACGGGATTAAATACTGGATGACATCTCAATGGAAACTGTAGCGCTGGGAACACATTTATACACAGAGATAATGGATGAATGTGCTTCTACAATGCATAAATATTTAAACTTTACAGCTCTGCTGAAAACGGACAGGAAATCTTTTTTCAAACCAAACTGAAAGGGATAGTGGTTATATGCTAAAAATAAAGGCTAACAAGTGCCTGGATGTCTGACTTTTGCTGACAGACAGCATATAGCTTTCTTGATGCATAAACTGTCAAAATGTCTAAATAGACCTCCCCCCCGCCAGCAATCTTGACAACAGGTTGTCTTATGTTCCCAAAAGTTGATAGCCAGTGCTTCACAAACCTCTTCTAATGAAGATCAATGCCTTTCAGGCGTATCTGGACCTGATGAAGACACCTTTGACCAAGGATGTGGATAACAGCAGCAGCAGGAAAGGTCCGAGACCACAAAACAGAACTCAATCTATGGATCTTTAACTGGGCTGTAAAATTTAACAGATCAACCAAGTGGCATTATAATAGAAAGAGACTAATGGCTGAACAGGAACCAGTCCTGACGAGCACTCTAACACCTACTGGGCACCTTCGATTCAGGCGTTCCTACACGTCTATCTTAATAACCCCCTATCAGATGTTTCAGAAGTCACTACTAAGCCTGGATCTCTTCTATAGCTCTGAGGTCCCAGCCTGCCTGTGCACTGGCACCACTTGCACAAGCAATTCATGTCCTACTCAATATGCTGCTGCTTTATCACTTCCCCACAGCAGAGCTCCCAAGTCTGCTCCAGAGCACCCTATATGTAACACAGGATGTACAGAATTCTCTGCCAATGAAATCTGGCTGTTGAAGCAGTAAACTTCAGCTGTCAGCATGGGCAGCAGGAAATAACCCCGAGGCAAAGAAAAGTCAACATTTTCTACAAAGATCCATCTGGCTAAGTTAATACATTCCCAAATTATACTTCTTAAACAGGCCTCATTGCCTAAAATAAAAATTTGAATGAAACTTAATCACTGTTAACCCAAAAAACTGCATTCACAGTCTTTTTACACTTAATATTTTAAGGTGGCATATCCCCATAACTCAAAATAAATTCATGTGTATTTTAAAATAAAAGCACATTGGACAATGACTCCATTTCACTACGTCTTTGGAGGGGAACTCAGTGATGCTGAGACTGCCATCGATGCCTGATTTTGCTGAATTCTTACCTTTCTGCTGATCTGGTTTTACTCTCCCTATAACTTGTTCTGCCTTCCCTGTCTCTCTTCCCATTCACGCTGAACACTACATCTTCTACTCGCTCCATTAATTCTTTATCTCCAATATTGGCCCACAGTGTAAAGACTTGGAATTTTACCATGAATTTTACCCATTTTACCAAAGGAAGAAAAACACCAAAATACATGCTGTAAAAGAAAGAAACAAACCAAAAACAACCCCACAGCCACAAAACAACAGTCACAGAGGTGGGAAATGAGGTGCTGATGCCATTCACTGTGGTAATATGCAACATCTAAGCTAAAAGCTTAAGCTTCTATTAGAGAGAGATATTCCTCTGGGGCACCTCCTTTTTTACACTCTCTGTGAAAACAGTTTAACCTCCAAATTCAGCCAAGAGCACCACGATCCTCCTCCTCTTCCCCTCTGTACCACACTGAGTCTACCCAATTGTAACCACTGCTCTGAGACGGTGCAATGAACAGGTAAGCTGTCAGGGTTAGAGGATGCAAGTAAATATTCCTCATGAAATAAACTAAACATTGTTTTCAAACAAGCACTTTACTATGGTGAAAGTTTACAGCTGAGTAAATGGCGGCTCATGAAGCGTTCTTACTGAAAGGCAGAAATGGGCTAGTGAAATATGCAAAGTGAAACCAAGCAGTGAGACGCCTGATGTATCTGACTGCACACAGGAACCACAAGCAACAAATCAAAGCCTGACTTAGGCAACAGTTGGCACCTGGCTCTCTACAGTAGTAATTTTGGAAATTACTTTAGCTGATTAAAGATCATTAAAAACAGAAGCGAGTCACAGAACTGGATTTTTTTTTGTGCTTAAAAAAATAGTTACGTTTCTTACAGTTATCTCTTACAAAAATGCTTAGTGGCTCTGGTTCTTAGCTAGAATTCCACTGCAGAACCATTAAAAATGGCTGTAACAACAGTATATCTCATTTACTGGCTAGCAGAACACACCAGAATTAACTACAGTTATTCTCTGATCCCAGAAAAGCAGGCAACTCAGTGACAAGACACGCACCTCAACTGTGCTTCTCTGCATCTGTAGACGAAGAACTAAAAGAAATAAAAGTAGCAGATAAATTCTCATATCACAAAGTGCAATAAAAATCTGGGGGAAGTGAAAAAGAAATTCAGCATAAATCTACCAAGGATCCTGCGATACCCATATAACTCCCTGCTTAAAACATCCTCAGATTCTCCCCAGCTATCCCAGACTACAGAAGTACATGTTTCTGCAGCAAAGTCCATTTCTTGTCATTAGGAATCCGTTTCAATCATATACAGTCCTACTCCCAAGACACTGCTTTATTTCTCCTTCATCACCTCCCAACTTACCCTCCAGCGTACAGAAACGTGTCACCTTCTCCGGCATCAGCTTTCCATGCTTGTGCTGACAGTACACATCAGCGATCTCCTGCCGACACTGCTTAGACTTTGCCCGGGACATGGCTGAGATTGCCTCTTTGCCCGTTACCTCGCACTTGGGTGGCTGGTCGTACCTCAGTTCAGGAGAGCTGTTCCCAGTTTTTTTCAGCGGCTGCTGTATGGGAGGCGTGTGCAAGTCCTTCAGGTTGCTGCTGCTGCTGTTCTTTCCAGGCTTATCACCCAACTGCACCACCTCATTGGAGCTCTTCCCCAGCAGCGAGTTCTCCTTTACCTTCTCCTCTTCCAGTTTCTTTCTCAAATGCTCCTTTTGCTTGCTAAGGGGTTTTTTCACCAGCTCAGACTGGTGTTTTTGCCTCTGAGTCCTGGGAGCAAAGTTACTGTTATCAATATTTTCAAAGTCCTTGGGGACCGAATTCTCATTATTGCTGTCTGTTCGTGTTTTCTCTTTCGGTCGGTGGGAAAAATAGCCATCCTATAAATAGAGAGAAAAATTACATTTTTCTTACTACAATACTCATGTGCAATGCATTACAAGCATTTCATATGTGAAAATATCAATAAATTATAGTCCAGCGTACTGGAAAATGTCATGTTACAGAAAGGTAAGGCTGAGGAAGTCACCTGAGCTCCGACATCAGTGCAGGCAACCACATTACCCACTGCCCTTCATCTCTGAGCTGGGCCTGACTCCATCTCAGATGGAGCAGGGGGTTTACAGGCTTGTGAGCAGTTGTTGACTGGAGAAGACTTCATCCTGACACCATTAGAATCAATGGCAAAGCCCTCAGAAAGGCCTGGGCCAGGCCCTGACCACCAGTCCTCACCAAAGCACCCCTTGTCTCCTCGCCAGGATGAACATCCTGACCATATGGGCTGTATTGTTCAAAACATGCTATATGAAGGAAAGGGAATGGACATGGTGCAATGTTTGTCTGCTGCAGAATAACGATGGCCTTCGTGATTTCCCCCCTCCACCTGTTACCATGGAAACTCAGCCCAGCACTGACTGCAATAGCAGATTTTTAAGAAGTCGCATTTTTATTTGCCATCAGACGGGTTACACTGGTGACAACTCCTGGGGAAAGCACAACAGGCCGCACAAGGACTGTGAAATCAGAGAACACCCTTGTTTGCTGTGCACTGGCAGATGGGCTCCCTGGGAGCCAAGCTCCACCTCAGTACTGCCCACGTCCCAGCCCTGCAATGGCCACACCGCTCCCTGGCTTCCTGAGCCTGCTGTATGGCCTCCTCCTGCAGCTGTACTCCAAATCATCTCCAAAACATGCTGATTAAACTCAGAAAGAACCCCAATAGGGGGGCAACTCCATAGCCTACACCTGGACACCACCATGGTCTGCACCATGGCATGCTCTCTGCAGACAGAGGGATGCAAACTGTGCCACAGGGGGAGGCTGTTTGTCTGTCCAGCGTGCTTCAGGTTGAGGGAGCTGAGCCAGGCCAGGCCTGGAGTGCTGGGAGAGCGGGGGCTGCTGAGCATGGAGAAGAGGTGGCTCTGGGACCTCTTGTTAGCATCCATTAACACCTGAAGGAAGGTGCACAGAGGATGGAGCCAGGCTCCTTGCAGTGGTGCCAGGAGCAGAGGCACTGGGCACCACCCAGAGCACAGGAGTTCTCTCTGTCCATTATTCAGCACTGTGAGACGCCCAGAGGCTGTGGGGTCTGCGCCTTACAGATGTTCAGAAGCCACACAGATGTGGGCCTGAGCAAGGCAATCTGGAACAGTATCCCTAAAAGACCCTAGACCTGAGCCAGGCAGGCACACTCTAAGGCCGTAGAAATGCTAACAGCAGAGAAGGGAGGTGTGCGACAGCAGAAGGTTGTAGGCACCATGTCCTCCAGCCACAGCAGAAGCTGAGGATGGCCAAAGCTGAAAGTGTCCTTCACCAGCACTTCTAAGCCTTTGTCGCTCTTTATGCTGTCTTGAGCTGCTCATGGGGATCAGACAGGCGTGAAAGAAATCCTCAGCAAAAGGGCAGAATTAATTCTGAGAATGTACAAAGAACAGTACAACATCTAAGTTCTCCCAACTGCTGAGAGCTGGCTACGTGGCTCCCTTCAGACCTCCGCAAACCTCTCCTGGCTGGCATGCAATTGACAAATTGAATGAACACATTCATAGGAGAAAGTCCATAAGACAGAAAAGAAAAAGGAGGACAATCCCAGGGACATCAGAGAGCACAGCAATCTGTTAGAGGAAAGACACAGAAGACCAGAACAAGAGGCACCTATATGCGTAAATGAATATGAAATCGGAATCTCTGCTCCAGCCGCAGAAGCTAGCCCTCAGGCTAGCAGGTAACACTCTTTTAGACTCATGGAACAGGCAGTATCTCTACTTATTAAAGTGCTCAACAGCAGACAAAAGCAAGGGGAATTGTTACTAAAACATTTGATGACCAGGTTATAAATATTGATGGACTTTTTTTCTGCCCAGCACTCTCTCCACTCCTGCTAGACTAAGCAGGCAGAAAGCAGTGCTTGCCAAATCACAGCAGTGGCTAACGATGACTGATGGGAGCCATCCTTAGCACCTACCAACCACATCTCACGTCCCAAACATTTCAGCAGTGCTAGCTAATTGTTTTCTCCCACCTCTTCTATGAGGAGCTATTTCACAGTCAGATTTCAGCAACAAGGAGGCTGAGATAATGACTTGTCCAAGGTCACACAGCAAGCCAGTATTGCTTTGACCTCTGCAGCTCAGCAACGAGGAATGTTTGAATAGTTTATTCATTAGAAGATCTGGTGAAGTGATTCTCTTCCATGAATATCTCAGCTTGCAAGTAGCTATTGCAAATGGAATGCAGAGGTTTTTCACAAGACAACTGTTTTTCAAACAAAATATTTTTATTTTTGAGAAAAAAAAATTAAGAAAAAAGCCTCATTTTTAAGAGTAGAAAGCACACAAAATCAATTTTTTTTCTATTTTTTAAACAAAGGAGTAAGATTTTTAACATTTATATCTCAGTGAAAGAGCAACAAAAAAGAAACCAACAAAAAATCCCACCAAAAACAGTTTCAAGACAGCACTTGCTCCTGTGAGCGATCAAATAAAAAGAATTCCTCTATTTTCAGAGCCCAACTCTTTTTACGTATCCTATATCTCCAATATATCTTCAAAAAGAAAAAGACCCCTGACCCCAGCAGCAAACTGCAAACAGAGCAAGACAAATATGAAGCTTATTAACACCTCTTCCAAGGTGCTGCTGCTCTGAGTAATGGCCCAGCGCTTCAGATGTTTGATAGCTGCCATGCTCCTTTCTTGTTCAGCCAACTTCTGAACCTCAGGTTGGCTATGCCAGTAGCACACTTCATCTTGCTTTATTTTAATGCAATGATAGAAACATCTTGCGTTTATATACACAGAACAGCTCTGAAAACATAACTACTCTGCAGACACACGTTCTCTAAGCTGTTGCTAGAGCTCAACTTTCCCTCTCACTCTATGCTCAAATGCATTCGTACCAACCCCTTTTAAGAAGGGGCAATAAGCTGCAGCCAGCCTCGCAATGAGGCAGGAACCACTGCAAGCTACCTGGGGCTGGGGATGCCTGGATGGTTAAACAAGTGAAATGAGACACAAGAGGCTGCAGTCACTGCATGGCTGGTGAGATCAAAGCCGTGCTGGGGTCATGCTGACATCCCCAAGGCTGCCTCACTGGCCAGCCATGTCCTGGTGGTGGGGATGCGATGGCTCAGGGCACCTGCCTGTGCTTGCTCAACATGGGGCTGGGTCCATCTTGTGGCTCTTGTGTTACAGCCATTTGTTTCATACTTACGAGATAGTGATGTAGATAGCACCCTGATGGCAACGGTTAATTGGGTGTACAAACATATGAAAATAAACAGGGAGGCTTTTCCCTTGCTTTTTTTTTCTTTTTTTTTTTCCACCTGCTTATATGAAGCTGAAAGACAACACTCATCTAGAATGCTATTAATACTATTAGCATAAATTTTATGTCCCAAACACTTCCTGAGCTATTTATAGTCCTTAAACTTCAGCAACTTGCATACATGGAATATGAAGGAAAATATGAAAGAGGAAATGAGAACTTTGTGTTGCATTTCAATGACAGCTGTGCAGAGAGCTACAGGGACATGGCTCGGCAGCAATGCAAACACCCTTATGGTTAGTTCTCATCATTAATGCAGCTGAAGGCACTCTCTGTCTGTTACTGGAGCATTCCAGCACTCAGAAATTCGGCCAAAATACCTGGCTGCAACAATGAGAAAAAGTCTATCTTCTGCATCAAACTCTTTCCAAAGCCTCCGAAGGCCGCGATGGGATCTTTCTGTGTATCTTAGCAATTTTCCCTCTCTGACTCTCACTAAATGACTTTTCTTTTCAGGTTAAAAAAGAAAAAAAGGAAAAAAAATAAGGAAACAAAGAAATATGCTGTACCACAAACAGCATATTGATAAGGGAGGAGAGCAAAATTCCACTATTTTTTGCTTTTTTTTTTTTTCCCAGTAATTCTTCTAATGCCCACAGTAAGAAATTGGTGCGAACGCTCTGCCCTCAGCCCCTACCTGATGCCCCATGCAGACCCCTCCATAGCACTAAAAAGCCTTCAAGGATGAGGTGTGGGGCCTCTCCTCTTACAAATCGCATCTGACACAGGAGAGTGGTAGAAAGCCTTGATGAAACCTCAGGAGAAAAAAGCAAAGTAAACAGAGGATTTACTGGCATAAGGTTCACCTCTTCAAACTCTTCTCTCCCTTCAAGTGCTTTGCTCCCCTCTGGGAAATGCCTTTCCAAGTGTACACGCTGGAATTTGAGAAGACAAATGTATCACAAGCGCTTCAAAGGCAGACACAAAACTAAGCTGGGCTTTAATCGCTGCCTGCCTGGGGGCACGGAGAAGACCACAAAAGCTCTGCAGAGACAGCATCTGGGAGGAGCGAGGGCTAAAAATATCAGCCCAACTGCAGAACAGCTGTGCCAACCAGAAGGCGTGTATGTACATCAGTGCATACCGAACAAAAAGCGAACAGGGCACCCAACAACTGCCATGGCTGGACACGTTCTGATTGCAGCCTCAGGTGAGCCTGGTGCACCCACACCTGCTGATGCAAAGAGGGAATGCCATCAAGCACAGTCTCTACCTGTCAACAACTCAATTCCTTCTCAGCAACTTTCACCAACTATGCACAATGTAATGGTTTCAAGGCAGGACCCACACGTGTCAGCAGGACAAGCTTTGCAGGGAGAGGACACGAAGCTCAGCACTTAAAAGTTTGCAACAGCAGCAGCTGCTGACAATAAATCGCATTCATCTGCAAAGTTTAGGAGTAGAGACAAAAGCAGCACATATGGGCTTAACCAGGCTATAGGAAGATGGATTTCTCTTGCTCTGCAATACTTATTTTACTATGCTGGATTCACTGCAGACTTTGTGCCATGGATATAAAATATGTTCAATTCAGGACAAAGAAATCCTGGAGAAAGAT